TGCAGGAAAAATTAGCTGAGACAAACCACTGGTGACTATGTCTCAGTTATTTCACAATCTACATTTAGGAACATTTATGCTTTTGTTGATTCAGTTTCACGACGGTGAAGAGAATGATTGCATGAACAATTCTACCAAGGTGGTGTAAAAAGAATCTGTTGTTTCATCAAGCTTCACTATGCAACTCTAGCATAAGTAAAACCCCTACTAAACGTGTAATCAGAGGTGGTGGAGATATCGTAGCCTATCTGAGGGACTTTGAACTAGGAGAGGTACAACCAGATAAGCACTGCTTTCATTGTCAGGTTCTTTACTTGAGCAAGGTTGTCCAAGGTGACGGCAAGGCAATCGTGCTCATTTGGCAAGGATTGCACAAGAGTTTATGTTCTCTTATTGCCAAAATCAGAATGATACTCTCTTTCCCAGTTTGGGATGCCAGGACCAGATGGCAGCTAGTTAAACGTCTCCCTGCTTGTGGCTGGCTTACCCTAGGGCTTGGCCAGAGACAATGAATAGAAGGCAACAACCAGCATCCTGGACATAGAGCCTGGCGGCTTGTACATGCACGAAAGCACCCGGAGAAACAGAGCAGGAGTTAGAGGAATGGTACGCATTGATAGCCAAGGACATGATGCACACCAATCAAACTGGTAAATGCCGAGGAATGTGTTGCTTGCATGGTGAGGTACCAGCGAAGGTGACTCAGCAGCAGAAGACCTGCACCTGTTAACACAAGGACGGCAGTGGGGGTAGAGCACATTTCATGGGCTGTTTCTCTTCCTGTTATCCAACAGGAGGACAGGTCACAGTCCTATGATTCCTCAAATAAGAAAATTAAAGACACCCAGCAGCAAAGTGGCCTAATATTTATGAAGTGTGAAGTTAACAAGATGCAGAAGCAAAGAAAGGGTTGCCCTTCAGGCCTCAAGCAGAACCCAGAAGGCATGTGGGTGACTCGGTAGCTGCCAAGGCTTGCCTTCCAGGTCACACTCAGGTGACCTTTGCCAGACCACTCAGATACGTACATTTTGGCCCCGCTGAGAATATGTGTATGAGAGTGCTGAGTGGGCCAGTCTACTTGGTTAGAATGTTAAATAAAATACTTTTCTGTTTCTAAATGGCCTTGAGTTTTCTTACACTAGTTGCACAGCTATAAAAGCATCCCGTAAGCGTGGCTGTACGTCTTCATTTTAAGATGACCATGATAGTCTATCTAATATTTGGCTGTGCACCATACCATGTATTATGTGGTCCTGACACTGTAGGGTAATACTAGTGACTATTTACAGTTCTGTTAAGCATAGTCAGAGCAGTATCATGCTCTTTCCACCTAAACTTGCACCTATGTGTCAAAACATCCAACTCTGGTCTCCTAACTTCAAATAACTCCAAGGTCTTTATTTCTTCCTTTGACTAAGCTATACAAGTGTTTCTCAGCGAACAGCTAGCCGCTCTTTGTTGGCAACTTCTCTCCTTCCTACCTGTACTGGGTTTGCATGGCCAGGTTTTGGTAGCGTGGTGCTACAGAAGTGGCTTCTGTGCGGCCTGAAGCCCCCCCCATGTCTGATAGAGCCAATGCCGGCCGGCTCCAAGATGGATCCACTGCTGGCCAAGGCTGAGACCATCACCAACAGTCGTAGCGTCTCTGGGGTAACACAAGGGGGGTAAGAAGGGGAAAACAACTGAAGAGAGGAGAGATTTTGCAGTAGAGAGAGAGAGCAAGATGTGAGAGGGACAACTCTGCAGACCCCACGGTCAGTGGAGAAGGTGGGGGAGGTGCTCCAGGTGCCAGAGCAGAGGTTCCCCAGCAGCCCGTGATGCAGGCCATGGTGGGGCAGGCTGTGCCCTGCAGCCATGGAGGGTCATGGCAGAGCACAGACTCCCCTGCAACGCAGGTAGGACCCCATGCCGGAGCAGGGGGATGCCCAAAAGAGGCTGTGACCCCATGGGCAGCCCACGCTGGAGCAGGCTCCTGGCAGGAGCTGTGGCCCCATGGAGAGAGGAGCCCAGCCTGGAGCAGGTTTGTTGGCAGGACTTGTGACCCCAGGGGGGGCCAGGATGGAGCAGGCTGCTCCTGAAGGATGGCACCCTGTGGAGGGGGGGACCCACACTGGAGCAGTTGGTGAAGAACTGCTGCCCGTGGGAAGGACTCAGGTTGGAGAAGTTGGTGGAGGACTGTCTGCCGTGGGAGGGACCCCATGCTGGAGCAAGGACAGAGCGTGAGGATCCTCCCCTGAGCAGCAGAGACACCATGTGATGAACTGGCCACAGCCCTCATTCCCCATCCCCCTGTGCCACTCGGGGGGAAGAGGCAGAGAAATCGGGAGTGAAGGTGAGCCTGGGAAAGAAGGGAGGGGTGTGGGGAAGCTGTTCTGAGATTTGGGTTTAGATCTCTTTTACTCTGATTTGATTGGTGCCCCCCAAGAAGTGCCTGTTATTCCCCTGATGGTAACTGGTGAATGATCTGTCCCTGTCCTCATCTCAACCCACATCTCTGTTACATTATCCCTCCCCTGCCCAGCTGAGGAGGGGAGTGATGGAGTGGCCTTGGTGGACACCCGGCCTCCAGCCAGGGTCAGCCCGCCACACTACCACAGTTGTGAGAGGTACTGGTGCTAAATCACACACTGACCTCAGCACGGATAACACTGTTCCTACAGCCTCGCCCCACGGCCTGAGGATGCCAGAGAAGTCTCCGCTGATTTTCTAACCTCTGTTAGCACCTAGGACTAGTACTTAGTAACTCCACTCGATAACTGGTACTGAGTGGAGGTAGAAGGCAGCAGCTCTGGCAGTGGATGAAGTAGTTGATCACACACGTAAAAGGTGAGCTCTGTTTGATGCTGTCGAAGGAAACCTGATGGTAGAGTAGAGAAACACAGGCTGGGTAGGGGTTTCTCCATCCACAGGGAGTTTTTTACCTCCTCTTGGGATACACACTGGAACTGCCCCCTACACAGCCTGTAAAGTCCATCTCACGTAGCAGGATTTTTGCACTCCCAGGAGTGGGAAGACATTTTTGAAAGCCCAAAAGTAGACAGAGGGACGGAAGTAAGGTAATGAATCAGTGGAGACTCTGGCCCCACCCACTGTCAGGAAGATAGCGCCCACACACTCAGTCCCTTTGTGTCAGCGGTTGAGGCGCTGAGAGAAGATTACAGTCTGGAACACATGCGTGGTTTGGGCTGTGTTGCACAACTCGCCTGCTGCTCACAGACTATGGCTGGTATGAACATTAGAAGTCAACCTAATCAATGAGCAGGAAATGTATAGTCCAGCAGAGCACCTGGTATCCAAGGAAAAGCTCAGGCTTTTCTGGTGGCTACCAAGCAGCTACAGAAAGGCTTAGGTTGTAAGGTCACAAGCTGGAGGTGGAGAACAAACATTTTTATTCTGCGCAATACCTGTTGCTTCAGCCAAACAGAGGTGTTGTACAAGCTCTTCTACGCTCTGCGGCCCATTGGCAAGAGCAAAGCTTGGTCCTTTTCTAGAAAACATTGCGGAGGTTTTACGAATTTCCAGTTTCAAATACAATACCGCTTGGGTGTTAAGGGTTATGTGGAGGTTGTCTGGGCCACTGTCACTTTTGATGAGTGGTGTCATCACCCAGTGTTTCTCACCCAGGCAGCTGGTGAAGCCTGACCTGCCCTTGGTGCATCTACAGAGAGGTCAGCATGCTCCTGAGGCCTTGTGAAGCTGGTGGAGCCCAGTGCTTTCATTGTCCCAGGAGCCCTTCTGAGAGACCCTGGGAGTTAAAGTCAACCCTTTACAAAGAAAACCGTTTGACATTCTTTTACTGCAGCTATCACAAGCTTAAGGTGCGACTCCATAGCTGAAATTCCTTGCCATGCCACTCCATGCTGCTTTTGGAAACATAATCCTTTGCAAGCATGAAAGTCATGACAACATGGCCAAGCAGAGGAAGTTATCAAAGACATGACCAGTGTGCACATCATTTAATTGGAGAACATGTGATGCCATCCACTGTGGTGCCAACGTAACAGGGCTCTGACACAATATGCTCTTTTTAACACTGGTGATGACAGAGCCACCACCACTCACACCACCAGCCTGATCAGATACGACAGTGAGCTCTGCCTGGTAACGTATTTTACTTCGCATAATTCAGATTTGCCTTGGAGTTATCCCAAGGGTGAAAACGCATCAACTGCTTTTTTGCTTGGTAGTACGATAGGGAGGGTTACTGGGAATAATTCAGAGGACAGATATGTCTCCTGGTGGGGGGGACCCATTAAGAGGAGGAAGAAGGGAAGTAGAGAGTAATGAGATGGCTTGTGAGAAGATTTGCAACTCATGCTCCTGGGTTGAAGTCAATCTCCAACTTTTAAGAGCCTGGCGAAGCATTAGAAATCATATATAATATTAACTGTGTATATTAAGAATAGATCCCTGCTTGGGACAGGAGTCTCTAAGGCGATCAAAAAGGTTTCTTTTTTTTTTCAGGCCACACATCTAATAAATAGTCTTCCTGTGAGGCTCTGCCAGTTTCAGTTCATAGGATCCTTGCGTTAACAGTGGTTTCTGGGTGCAAAAGCTAAGCAAAAGAGAAACAGCAGAAGTATAGACATAGTCATAGCCCAGTCAACCTAAATGTGTTCCGTGCATAGCGTAAAGTCTTACTTCGGATTAATTCCCTCTCCGTGACAATTGGCCCAACGGCATTTTCTGTGGCTTTAGTTCTTGCATTACAAAGCTGTTTCTCTACTTTTTGACACAGAAAATACAAGAATGGGTCATGACTAGTGCCAGATCTGGCCTGTACAGAGGAGTATGAAGAGCCTTGAGTGGTCTCTAATGGAAGCTGGAACCCCCTCTGCTTCCCCCACCCAGACTGTTTTATATGTTCTTAAGATATACAAAGAGATTAACCCATCATAACCAAGTAGAAACAGACATTGATAACAATGTTATTTAATAATAATAATGATAGTAATAATAATGATAGTAATAATAATAATAATATTTCACACAGACACAAGATGTGGCCGTTTATTGCAATCCTGGTTTTGATACAAGCACACCCGAACTCAGCAGATGCCATCGAGTGGGAAAAGGCTATAAATCCTGAGGCTTTCATGAATGTCGTAAGTCAAAAGTTTGGATTTCCACTCTGTCTGAAAGTTTGTGCATATTTCGCTGAAGAAGAGAGGGATGGAGGGTGTGTATGTGGCGAGGGCTCAGATCACCATGTGTGTGGGTTTTGTCGAGCGGTGTGATGTGCCATTGCCTCCACACCATCGCTAACAAGCACTGCTTCCTGAAGGAGTCCTCTTCCTCCCAGCAGCATTAAGTGCAATTATCAGCAGGTCAGTTAGAGAAGGGAGTAATACCAGCCCGGGTTTGATCAGGCATCCTCATGGAAGGTAGAAAGTTGTGCTCCCTCAGCTGCAGCAGGTTGCTTGGGGCCGTGCCCAGGCAAGTCCTCAAAGTCTCTGAATGTGGGTTTAGGTGGATCCAAGACACGGGCAATGCAATTGCTGAACTTAATGTCTTCTATCAAACATGTGAAAAAGCAAGTATACAACAATGTGTAGGCAGGATCACAGCTGGATTTCACCAGACTAAATCTTCCCAATCTGTGGAGTGTCTGGAATAAATAAATTCCAGATAATAAGTACAGTCCCTCAGGAGCCCTCCAACAAATCCTACGGGGCTTGTCCTATTGCCCTTCCAGTCAGCCACCAGTGGCAGCTGTCAGTAAATTGGTTTTGTTCCAACCTTCATTTTCAGAAGCATTTCAAACGCATGTGGTGCTGCATGCTGCAGGGGAGACCTGCTGCCCCCAGGTCCCCCTCCTGCTCGCTGGCACAAGCCCACGATGGCAGGTGTGGGATTCGGACAGAGCATCCTCTCATCCCCTGGCAGGTGTGGGATTCAGACAGAGCACCCTCTCTCAGAAAAGTACTCAGCTGATCCAGAGACACCCTGGGCAAGGCAATGTCCCGGCTGCCACAGTGGTTTGGTTTTACAAAGGCATCCCAGCAGACAAAGGACGTGCTCTTCGAGCCAGATGAGCATCTGGGCTACAGAAAGCTTTCTACCTGGGTTTTTCTTTCCCCAGAGCCAAATGATCTGCCACAGAGGGTACCCCAGTGAGGAGTATGAAGTCCTGACTCACGACGGCTACTACCTCAACCTGAACAGGATTCCTCACGGGCGACAAAAACCTCGGAACAGAGGTATGGCTCTATTTCACAAGGAAGCCAGGAAAAAACCCCACACCTTAACATAGAAAGCAGGTGAAGCGATGAACCTTACCAAGTCAGGGTATTATTTATTTTCAAAGCAAAAATACCAAGTCCACGGTACTTATCCAATTTATAGTCAAGGCTTTAGCAGCATAGGAAAGTGTGTGTGCAGCACAGCAACCATTTTCATGTTAGAGACTTGGGTTTAAGGCTCAGAGGGGGCAGGCATGTTTTACTCATTTAATTTTTTCCTCGTAAATTTGTGACTTTGGGGGTTGAATGATCTCATGAATGAGCCTGTACCTGGCTGCTGTCAGTGGCCATGGTGCTGAGCTTGTGGGGGTGAGCACCTGCGGTCTAAAAGGCTTAGGAGGGACACCTGCATCTCTTCAGCCTGAGACTCGAGCAACCACCACGAGACAACTACAGCAAGGATTTCTTCACCAGAACATGTCATTAAAATGCACATTTTATGTTCCCCGGCAGTGCAAGAAAGAGGCTTTGTTGGCCTGAGTTTGGGGTGAGTAAGCAGAGCAATTCTGGTTCAGTGAAATGCACTTTCTTTCACATCCAGGGGCCAAACCGGTCGTGCTTCTCCAGCATGGGTTGTTTGGAGATGGCAGCAACTGGGTGGAAAATCTGGCCAACAACAGCCTTGGCTTCATACTAGCAGACTCTGGCTATGATGTCTGGCTGGGAAACAGCCGGGGGACAAGCTGGTCCCGGAGACACCAACACCTTTCAGCTGAGCAGGTTGAATTCTGGAATTTCAGGTGGGCTGAAGTGGATTACAAAAGCAGGCAAGCTTCTCTGTCTGTCACTTACCTCTAGGCAGAGGTGGGTGCCTCCAAGCAGGCAAGTCAGAGCACCTAATCCCCAGGGATGGCCTCCCCCAGACCTCCCAGTGATGTGCCCAGGGAGGATGGAGTTACCTGTGCAGACCTGCTTGCTGACATGGTGCCAACAGCTCCCTGCAGCTGCCCAGCCCTGCCAAGAGTGCAGGGCGCTTCTGCCTGCATGGGGATGCGCATCTCGCAGAAACATCCTGGGGCCTCTGCAGAGAACCCCTGGCCAGCAAGGTGTCCACGACTGCCATTGCCACTTCCCCTTCTGGACATTGTCCACAGAAACCTTGTCCCCAAGAACATAATTTTCAGGTGCTGCTGCCACTGCAGAGCTGATCTTCAAAGAACCCCCAGATTTCCCAAGCTCATAAACATGTTTCCAGTAAAAAAAGCTAATAAAGTATGCTTGATTTCAACATATCCAAGTAAAAGGCACCTGGGCAGGAACCGGTGTTCCATTCCCTTGTGGGAAAGAGCATCTCTAGGAGCCAAGCTGGTGCTGTAATGGCTGCAGAGACCCAGCTCTGGGTCTGCAGGGCTGCTGTGTGTTGCACCTGAATGAGGAGCTGGCCTGGCTCTAGACAGTCGCTTCACCACTAACATGGTTATGGGAGGACTAAACCCTTTCCAGGAAGGATGAGGCCATGGCAGGAGGGATGCCTTTGGACCCTGTGCAGTTTCACCCAGCTCAGGGTTCTCCTAGCTCATAGGAATTTCCTCATGGAAAATCAGCCACTGATGTTACGTCCTTCAGTACACAAGCAATGCAAGGCAGCCAAAATTCACGGGTAGGTTTGCTCTCTTGTTGTTACCTCATGACAAACGCACTTCTCCTGTGTTGCAGCTTTCATGAAATGGCAATGTATGACCTCCCGGCCACCATCGACTTTATTCTGCAGAAGACCGAGCAGAAGCAGATCTATTACATTGGCTATTCCCAGGGCTGCACGATCGGTGCGTTAGAAGGTCCAACACATCATGTTGCCTGGACCATGCTGAGAATGTTCACTTTGGTGTTTGTAAGCAGAAATCAGAAGAGGTCCATGTCCCACCTTCGTGGGCTGCCAAGCAGGCACGCTAGGCAGACAGTCTCTTGCAGTGAGAAGTCCCACAACAGACATACTTTTCATACAGGATGTCTAGGAGGACCAGGGTGCTCCTAGGGTAGTAAGAAAGCTCCTGGTGACCCCAGTAAGTTCCTTGCTGCAACTGAAGCAATTATAATTCAACCTAGAAAACCAGATTGCAGCGTTCTACGTCAAAACCAAAGGCATTTTGCATGGAGGTCACAGCTTCTGCTTTCTGATGAAATGCACGGTGCTTCTTTTCACTGGCTGGGCCATCAAGGGTATGAGATAAGCTCTGTGATGATGATACCCCTCAGCAGTGCTTAATGGAAGATGACAGTACTGTTCCCTTCACCTGGTGAATGTGGCAGGCCTTCCCATCAGTGGCAGTTGTTGATGCACCTCATCAGCCACTTCAAACCACAGGAATAAGGGTGTTGTCTCCTTTTGGACATCACTAGCACTGACGTTAAGCAGAAATATGATCCCAGATTTCTAATTGGAGCTAATGCCAGCTGAACCGATCTGTGCAGCAGGTCCAAACGAACCCTTGAATTAAGCACCCAAAGAAAGACCAAACAAGTCTCAGGTTGTTTCTCTGTTTTCTCAGCATTCATTGCGTTCTCATCCATGCCAGAACTGGCTCAGAAAATCAAAATGCTTTTTGCACTGGCTCCAGTAGTGACAACCAAGCACGCCAGAAGTCCCATCATGAAAATGTCCTTCATTCTGAACAAGCAATTCAACGTGTTCCAGGTAGGGGATTACTCCATGCTCTGCTCCCCTGAATGTACTGGTGCTAGGAGAGGGACTGTGCCTAGAAGCAGTCCCCTAGGCTATCTGATGAGGCAGCCAATAGTTAATTCCAACTGATCTGTAAGCACAGACAGGATTCAGGTGCAGGTGCACCCCTGCACGGTCACTTTGCTGAGTGCGTGCCTTCCTTCCATCTGTAGGATCTTCAGGTGTGGAAACAAGTCTTTCTATGGGGGCCCTTGAATTCCTGCACAAACCACCTGGAAAACAGCATCTTTACTGTGTTGATCTTAATGACAGTGAAAAATTAATCCAATGCCTGGGGAAGGTGGGGGGAAAGAAGAGTCCCAAACATAGATTTCCTTGGTGTGCATTCAATAGCACCACCCCCTGCGATGAGCTGTACACATCCCAGCGAGGCAGGAGGGCAAAGGAGAGGGGGGTTTGAACCCTGTGCCGCACACCCCCTCACCGCCCAGCTGAAGGGGCACTGGCTGGTGGCAGGTCAGGGGAGGCAGTCTGAGGGCTAGACTGCAGGAAGGGAAACGCAAGAAAGCAACCTTTGCCCTTTGCTCCTGCAGCTTCTGCTGGGCAGAACAGATGCTTTCCTGTGGATGAGGAAGCTGTGGAGCTTCCTCCCCCCGCTGTGCCGGCACCCGCTGATACACAAGCTTTGTGCCAACCTCTTCTTCCTGCTGGGTGGCTACAACGAGAAGAACCTCAACATGGTGGGTGTGCTGCCCCATGGTGGGGCAATGGAGTCAGGGCCCCGGGTTGCATCACTTGAGAGTGCTCTGCAGTGCCCACTGGCTCTGCTGACCCCCCTGCCTGCTGCCTGCCCCCTCCCTGCCCAGTCTGCTACAACCACCCACCTGCAGTGCTCACGGGCAAGCAGATCCTCCAAGGGCAACGTGTCCCCCTCTGCCTGATCCCTCTCTCACTGCTTCTCCTCCACGGATAGGAAGTCTCCAGGCTCTGCTGGGTGAACACCAGTGGCCTGGTGGCACTCAATAGCATCTCCGAGTTAGGGCTGCCTGTCACTGAGACCATCTGCACCTCCCACGAGCACCCCTGGGGTGCAGCCCCTGCTCCTACGCACCCTGTGTCAAGTCTTCTGAAGCAGCATCTGGGTGACCACAGGTAGTCACTAAGGTCTTGAGCACAGTCCCTGAGTCCAGATGTCATACCTCCAGGAACTAGGGATATCTCATCCTTCACTACCACTCTCCTAGAGCTATCTCAGAGCAACTGACTCTTGCTGAAACCTGTATTCCCGAACCTGACCCAAGTCTCTCGGCAGCATGACTCAGCAGTGGCTGGTTTGGGAAATGCATCATCTGGCAATGGCCATCCTCGCTCCTGTTCATTGAGGAGCAATGATAGCTTGAATTTGTTTCCTTGCAGACACGGCTGGATGTGTACACGGCCCACTATCCGGATGGGACGTCTGTCAAAAACATGATACACTGGGCCCAGGTAGGTTCCCTGAAAGGCAGATGCTTCACCCCTGTGATGGTCCCTTCACTGGGTCTGACGTGTCCAGGGCAGACAAGAGAGCTCAGGGATCTTGGATATTAGCAGTTCCTGAGAAAGAAAAGGCAAGAAATTAGGTGTACAGAAGAGGCACTGGATGCAGGACAAACTGCGCTGGTCCCTCTGCGGACCAGGAGACACAGGAGTGTGCACCCGAGGCTGTGCCATGCAGGACAAGGGAAGGGAAGGGGAGGCCACAGCTGGGACCAGTTTGGGGCCCCCAGTAACCCCCAAAGCAGAGCGAGCACAGGAACACCCTGTTGATGGTGGGTGGAAGCCAGGGCGTACAAAGAGAGGCTAGGGTAGCTAGGATCCACCGACATCTGCCCCTGCCCAGAGGGGTACCGGAGACACCAAGGCCAGACCGAGCAACCTGCTACAGCTGCAGCGCTGACCCTGCTGGAAACCCACCCTGGTGCCTCCTTGCAGAGGCAAATTATAGGTAACAGGGAAGGTGCAAAAGGTCTTTTTAATCAATGAAACTATTGTGCAGGTATCTGAGCTTTCGCCCCTAGCATAGAAAGAACTCATTGTAACTGGGCTCACTGATGTCTCTACTCTGAGCCTGAAGTGTCACGAAAAGGTAAGGATGATCAGGTTGTTGAAGGAAAACCCACAAACGCAAAGTCCTCCAGCAGCATCCTGAGTGAACAGCTGGTGTGAGCAGGTTTTCAGAGGCACGAGTGCTGCATTGGGGCAGCCAAGCAGTTGCGTGCAACACCTTGGTTTGCCAACCCGTTGCTAGGGACAAAGCATGGAGCTGGAGGTCAAAGCATCACCCTGTTAAAAAAGGTGGAAAGTCTGGCTTTGCAGGGGTGCCACCTCCTGCTGCAACGTCCCCTGCAAGCACCCTCTCATGACGTGGTCCCTTGGGGAGGCTGGGAGATGCTGGACTCGGGCAACAGTGCTTGCTGGCCTCCCACTGCAGATCTATTTTCTCTTCCCAGATGATTAAATCGGGAGAATTTAAAGCCTTCGACTATGGCAGCAAAAACCCAGATGTATACCACCAGGTAGGAGCCTGCAGCAGCAATGCTGGCAGCTGCAGGTGCCAGGGGACTGTCCTGCGTGGTGCAGGGACAGGCTGGCTTGCCAGGGTTGACCATGGTGGCGGTTTCTCCCAATCCTGTGTGTGTCTCTCCTCCAGGAGACACCTCCCTCCTACCGGGTGGAGGAGATGCCCGTGCCCACCGCAGTGTGGTCGGGGGGGGAGGACTGGGTGGCTGACTGGAGGGATGTCCATCTGCTTCTGCTCCGCATTGCCCATCTTGTCACCTATGGCCACATCCCCGACTGGAACCACTGGGACTTCCTGTGGGGCTTGGACGCCCCCAGGCACCTGTACAGCAGCATCCTGGAGCTGATGGAGGATTCCTGGTAGAGCAGCAGCTCCACAGGGAGATGTCCCTTGCCTGACTCCTCTCCCTTGACTGGGACAGCCCGAGGAGGCAGTGAGACATCCCCTGTTGTCCCCACCTTCCTGCAGGCCTGACACATCCATGGTGATGGTGCTTCCAGTGCATCCCTTAGTTGCCAGGGCTTGTCCTCCTCCTCGCTTGAGAGCTCCTCAAGGACCAGTGGCACCGTGCGGGCAGGGCAGCACCAGGGTCAGCCAAGGGTTTGGGCGGGCAGGAGCCACCAGCTGGGCAGCCCTGCTGGAATGGCCCCGGGCGATGCTGGAGCCATGTCCCGGGTTGCTCGCGGGGGATGTGGGGCCCCTGCCATGCCATGACTGCTGCCGGGTGCGTCGGAAATTAGAGCACCCAACCCACGGGGTGAGGGGAGGGGAGCTGGGCTTGCTGGGTCTGAGCGTGGGGAGCAGGAGGTGTCAGAGCAGGCCCCAGTGGCAGCGCAGGCAGGAATGGATGAGGCCGGACCCTTCTCGGCAGCAACACGGGGCTCCGGCATCAGACTCCCAGGAATCAGGGGATTCAGGTTGGATGTGAGGAACCCTTCTTCCCCCAGACAGGGCCCCAGGGAGGCGGAGGAACTCTGTCTGGGGTGAGGTCAGGGCTCAACCGGGGCAAGCCGGGCGCTTGCCTGCATTGTTTGGTCCCAAGGCTGCGTGGCTGGAGGCCCTTGGGAACAGCTGCGTGGCTCCATGCCCTGTCCCTGGGAGCTGGCAGCCCCAAATGCCCCAGAGCTGGGTCGCGGGGCCATGGCTTCCCCATGAAGGTGCCGCCAGGCTGGTGTCCCGCGGCAGCGTGCAGCCCTCTCCATGC